GTTTTATATGATGTGACAGAAAAGGCCCGTTTTTGTTTCGGCAAAAAAGTGTAGCATAAACTTCATAACTCTACTTTTTTTTGGCGGTCGTTTAATGTGTTTGGAAACCAACTTTCAAGCTTTTTTACTTTTCTAGTCGTCTTGAGGTGGTCATCGACGGTCGATTTGCCAAGTTGAAGTTTCCCTGCAAATTCTCGAACAGTTGTTCGGAGCTTTTCTATCACCAAAGCCCGCAGAACATCGTCACCAAGAGAGGAAGTCCTTCCACGACCTTCTTTGTCTTCAAAGCTGAAGTCTCTCTCCCAAAATTTTTGTAACCACCGTTGAACAGAGCACTCATTAATGCTCCTCTCTCCCCAGACTTGATTGATGTTTCTTCAGACTTGATTAATAAGTGTTGGCATTTGTATGAATGCCAACACTTATTAATCCTCTTCTAAATGATAATGTTTTGTTTACATCTGTAACATTTCGCTGCTAAGAAATAATTCAGTCCACGAGTTTAAACTCGGCCGGAATGGAGCCCTGACCGTCAGATACATCAATGAAGTCTGGAGCGAGCAGCATTAATGAGTGCGCTATTCAACGGTGGATACAGATATTTCGTGAGGGAGACTTCAGCCTTGAAGACAAAGAAGGTCGTGAAAGGACTTCCTCTCTTGGCGACGATGTTCTGCGGGCTTTGGCGGAAGAAAAGCCCAGAACAACTGTTCGAGAACTTGCAGGGAAACTTGACCTTTTCAAATCGACCGTCGATGACCACCTCAAGGTGACTGGAAAAGTAAAAAAGCTTGAAGGTTGGGTTCCAAACACATTTAAAAAATGCCCCATTTGTCAATTTCAAAGCAGCCTACGATTCTGTGGACATTAACTGGCTTTGGAAAATCATGACTACCTTGGACTTCCAAAGACGTAACATATTATATGTACTTATCATGAAAAACTCCTTAGTCTTCTGGGTTTTTAAATAATTGTTATAAAGTTTAATTATTTAATGCATTGCAAATTTATGTATAATAAATCCTAGTTGAGGTTAATCTTTCTTTTATAACAATAATAATGAAAGGCATGTCATTGTCTCTTCAGCAACAGACGGACTCTCTGGCAAACCATATTTTTTATTTTCGTTGTGTACTTCCTCTGCTTTTCTAAGCAATTAAGAGGCTGGTTGCATGGTGTCATATGACACGGGTTACAATGGTCCGGATCTTATTCCAGTGAAGTTAATCAAACTATGTCTTCCAGTCATCTTTCCTGTCCTTTTGAATATTTATAATTTTTCCTTGCAAAATTCCAGTTTCCCATCAGTTTGGTTATGATCCAAATCTTTGAATATATCTATTCATTATTTCATAATAATGTTTTGAATGAATAAACTTATCAATTTAGTATATCATACAAGATGGATTCTGATACATGGAAATAAATGAATAAAGCCTGGATAATGACAATACCTCCAGTTTTCCCTATAATATAGGATTAATTAATAAATTTTAACATTCCTCATTCTTCTGTCCGTTCTCTAAACATAAGATCCCAGCCCACCAATATCTGCATTTCTTCTCATAGAACTGCTTCCTTTAAAAAAGCCTTAATAATGCTTGTTACCTTGTTTTGGAATTCCTAACCCTTCTCCATTCACAAAACCTCATCGTTAACTTCTTTTAACCAACAGTTATTCATCCATCTCCTCAACAATTAATCTTCTGAATATATGTATGAATTAAATTTTCGTTTAAGTGTTATCAGCCTCATTTTACTGTTTATGTCACAGTTATCTATATATTATCGGTACAAATCTGTAAACATGCCGATATTTATTTATCTATAATTTTATTTGTTTATTCTTATGCTTATCCTTTGTATAAATTCTATTATTTATAATTCTAAGATTACATCACACTGTAATTTAATTATTTCTTTTCATTTTACACTAGACAAATAACACTTCTATAGTTCATTATTATTATTCTTTGGGAACTAAATGTCCCAGAGTAAAATTTACTTTTCTTCTTCTTCTGAACTGTCGAATTATATATATATATAGGCTGGTTTTCAGCTCGAATTTTTCTCTGAAGTTCAAATTTCTGAAATCTTCAAATGAATTAATTGTGAAACAACTTGTTAAAATTGGGTAAATTAGGTTGTTTTTTGTATTAATTTAATTAATTACAAATTTTCATTAAAATCTGTGACTTTTGAGTGGATGTTGTTTCCTGGATCATGTTTTATGAAATTGTCTCTTTTAGAATTAATGATCTTAATTGTCTCTTAATACAGTGACGATGAAGTCAAAAGTGAATTTTACGATAAACCCGAATGGGTTTATGATAAACTACCGCGAAACAACATGAAAATAATTATAGGTGACGCGAACGCAAAGGTAGGAAGGGAAGAAGTTTATATTCCGACGATTTGTAAAGAAAGCTTGCACGAATATAGTAATGATAATGGGATCCGTCTGATAAACTTTGCCATCTCGAAAACCCTGATAATTAAAAGTACGACGTTTAAACATAAGGATATTCATAAATATACTTGGACATCACCGGATTCGCAAACACGAAATCAAATCGACCATGTCTTGATACAACATAGCTGGCAAAGCAGTATAATTAATGTACGGTCTTATCGCGGAGCAGAATGTGGGTCGGATCATGAATTAGTAATCGCGAATCTTCGACAAAAACTTAATATAAAAAAGAGAAAAGAAAACCGTTTCGATTTTGAGAATTTTAATTTGGAAAAATTAAAAAATCCATCAATTAGATTTTTTCAATTAGATTAAAGAACCCAATTCGAGCTAGATGTTAAGAATAGGTTTGAAGCTTTAGAGCTTCCTGACGAGGACCACGAGGATATTGACAAGTTATGGGTAGAGATCAGAAATAATATTAAAGCGGTCGGTAACTCGTGTCTAGGAAAAAAAGAAAATAAGAATAACAAACCCTGGTTTGATGAAGATTGCTTAAACATGTGCGAAAAACGAAAAGCCGCTAAATTAAAAGCTCTAAATAATCCTAGCGAAGACAATCTGGAATACTTCCGAACCTCAAAGAACGAAACGACAAAATTGCTCAAAAATAAAAAAAAGGAGTATCTTAAAAATAAAATAATTGAAATAGAAACTAATAGAATCGAAAATAACGTAAGAGACATGTACAAAGGTATAAACAGATCACGTAAATGTGTAGGGTCCGAAACATCTGAATTAGGGATGATAATAACAATATTCTGACCGATCCGGTTGACATATTGAATAAATTTAAGGACCACTTTGACAATATTTTAAATACGGGAAATTATGATCTGTGTCCTCCTTCTGAGTACCAGAGTGCTGAACCGTTGATAGAAGGACCGAGTAAAGAGGAAGTTGAATTAGCTATCGGAAAATTAAAATCTTATAAAGCAGCGGGAACCGACAATATTCCCACTGAACTAATTAAGGCATGCGGGGAAGCTGGAGTTTCTAAAATACATCGGTTGGTTAAAAAGATCTGGGTGAATGAGAAATTACCTGAAGAATGGAAAGAATCTATTCTTATTCCGATTCACAAAAAGGGTCCGAGGACGGATTGTAATAACTATCGAGGAATTTCACTCCTTCCGGTATGTTATAAAATATTTACTTTAATCTTAACCAGTCGAATCACGGAATACGCCGAGGAAATTATCGGAGACTGCCAATGCGGATTTAGACGGAATCGTTATCAAATATTGATCAAATATTTTCTTTACGGCAAATATTAGAGAAAAAATATTAGAGTACAACGGTATTGTTCACCAGCTGTATATAGATTTTAAAAAGGCTTACGATTCTATTGACCGCCAGAAACTGTATAATATTCTAATCAAGCAGGGGATTCCTAAAAAATTAGTAAATCTAGTCAGGATGTGCTTGACGGAGACACTCAATAAAGTTAGAATCGGTAATAATCTGTCCGAAAAATTTGAGGTTCGTTCGGGTTTAAAACAGGGTGATTCCCTTTCGCCTGTCCTGTTCAATTTGGCATTAGAACATGCCATTAGGGAGGTAATGCGTACCGAGAAAGGGTTGGATCTGGGTGGGACAACATCCGTGCTGGGCTATGCGGATGATCTGGTACTGTTAAGCGAAGACCTTGAAACTATAAAACTAAATACGACAACGTTAATGAAAGCCGGTAAAGAACTAGGACTCGAAATAAACGTGGATAAAACAAAATATATGGTTAGCTGCAAAAATGGCGATACTACTGGTGATATCGATATAGATGGTAATATGTTTGAACAGGTAGATAAGTTTAGGTATCTAGGTTCTACGATAACTAGAAAAAACGAAATTGAAGAAGAAATTAAGGTTAGACTGAAGGCGGGAAATGCTTGTTATTTTTCTGTGACAAAACTACTTAGTTCGCGCCTCTTGTCCCGAAACTTAAAAATTAGAATCTATAAAACAATTATCTTGCCTACAGTTCTTTATGGGTGCGAAACTTGGCCGCTTACATTAAGGGATGAGCAGCGTCTTAAGGTTTTTGAAAATAAAGTATTGCGTAGAATATTCGGACCGAAGAAGGATGAGTTAACTGGAGAGTTCAGACGGTTACACATCGCCGAATTGCGTGAACTGTATCCGAGTAATATAATTGAGATAATTTCATCGCGGCGAATCAAATGGGCTTGTAAAGTGTTTGAACTTAGTAACGAGAGAATTCCTAAAAGGCTAATATTTGCTGTGCCCAATGGTAAGCGTCCGAGGGGTAGACCGAAGCGAAGGTGGGAAGATTGCATTAAAGCCGATCTGAAGGGACTGGGTTTGGACGGCGAACGATGGAGGGAGGTGTGCAATAAGCGATTGGTGGTGTCGGCATCGAACCTTCGGGTTCGCTAAGCCTTTTTATTATTATTATATTATTATTATAATTGTCTCTTAATAATCCTTTAACTTAACATTTTTTTTTCATGTCGTATTTATATCATTGTATCTAAAATTAATCCTGTGTTTTCATTTATTTTTACAGGAATTCACTGAGGCTGCTAGAAGGTAATTCATTATATTACTAATTTTCAGTGTGAGTAAAATTAATTTATTTTGTTTAAGACAATGACAGGGGATTGTCCAAATGTTTTTAACACAAAACCCTCTCATGTGTTGCTGCATTATTTGTACCTATATTTTGACGCGTATTGTAGAAGCATAATTAAATCTAAATGTTATTCAGTAAAACAGCACATAACTGAGTTTTTAGGTGCACTAGTTACATGCATGCTCTTTATGCCTAATGAAGAAGACAAGTATATATGTTCCATTCCTCTTTAAGCCATATATTTCCAGTCAGTTTAATACTTTCACTGACCTATATATGCAATATATAGTAAGAGACATTATTGCTATCGTTAAAATTTTTGAATCTGAGTTTTCAACGGAAATACATGTTTTGAGGTCTCCTGAGTCCAAATAACCAAGTACCGCAAAATGATCTGTGTGTATGTGCGTGTTTGTGCTCGAGCGCGGGTATACCTGTGTGGATGTGTGTGACGAGTCTAGCTCAACAAAAACGAAAAGTCGTAAGAAAGTGAAATTGCATATTTGAGGTTTTTAGAAGCCTTGGATGTTACAGCAATCTTTTTGTCAAAATTGTCAAACCGGGAGTGGTTCTTTATACAATCGATTTAACACATTTTTACGATTTTCTCAAAAAAAGCTACTACGATTTTGATTAAACTCAGTGTATCAGTGTATTATTAAGCAGTTTTTAATATAATGTAGCTTTTATTCTCATTGATGTTTTCTAACTGGGCTTAAATAGCTAATTCCTAATACTAGCTTCCACTAAAGTACCTTTAATTGTTTTTATTTGAAATAATTAACCATTTCACATAAATCTTTGATGTAAAAAATAGTTAAATATAAAATATGAAAGAATTTAATAATTAACTAAAGGAGAAATAAAAGATCGTAACGGATAATAATTGTAATGAAGGAACCAAAGGATTACGAGCGGTCCCGAAAGATTATAACAGGCTTCCATACGTAACATGAGTTTAAAATAATACAGACTCCGAGAATATTATGTACATATACATATGCAGTTTTCATAAATGCTATTATTTAATTCCCAATTGTATAGATTACAGCGATATAAAAATTAAAATTTGTTTCTGTAAGGATAATTAAAAAAATAAATATTCCCACAATGAAATTTAAATCAATTTAGTGCCTATAATTTCACTTCCCCTTTGTCTAAAAATACTTATTTCTGCTAAGAAGAAGGTGGTAAGTGAAAGTCGTGTGATGTGCGCACCAGATTTTTTTGTTAGTAAATGATCAAAGCACAACTTCTATTGTTTGATATATTTGTAAAATAATATTATTTAATAAGGATTACGTTTCAGGATTTTTTCAACTTTAGAATCCAATTTTGCAGTACATCTGACTTAAACCTTTTGACTATTTACTGCTGGAGCAGGATTCATGGAGGTGGATCCTGTGCAGTTCAACCTGAGAAGAGTAGTGGTGTTTCAGAGTAATAACTAATAGCTGATAGTACATTTTCTAGCTGCTAGATAGAATTTGTCTTCAGTTTATAAAACTGGAGTGGAAGCTAAATTTCAACCTAACAGGCTGATAGTACCTTACTCCTTTTGGGTATAATGAAAATGTTTATCTGCCAATTTAGACCATTAGATTTAAATTTTGAGGAGCATTCGCCACCTTGAAAAAATGAAACAATGGAGATCACAGGAAACACCATCTGGCTATCTAAAATGGTTTATTATGCCAGCTAGATGAAGAACAAAAACCTACTTTTGGACATAAAATTTCATTATAAACAAATTTTCGTTTACTTCTCAGAAAATTAGGTAGACTGGGTATCTTTGTCTGTCAATACAAAACAGTTGTATAGGCCGAGTAGACACGACTCGAAATCCCACTTTTAGTCCATACAAATAAATTAAATTTCGGGTCATTTTAATCAGATTTTCCTTTAACCTGACTAAAATAGATTGTTAGGTGATAGTAGAAAACTTCATCTGTCAATCCAAAACGATCTATTATGCCGAGCAGTGAAATTTCGGATCTATTTAAGGAAATTTTTGCTTGATATTTTTGCTTGATTTAAGGAAATTTTTGCTTGATTTTATTTTATTTTTATTGAGTATTATAACAATCTGTCTCTTGGAGATTGGTTTCTAGTGAGGTAGGATGACATTCACACTATATGTACAAAAAAATAAAATAAATAGAACAAAATAATAATCAAAAGTATATACAATAGACAATAAAATAAAATAACCTAAAAAATAAGAAAATTAAAACTAAGAAAAAAAAAAAAAAAACACATGCATACCTATATACAATCAGGCGAGGGAACTCCAGGAGAACCCTGCGCTACTCTCCCAACCGCGTCACTGGTACTAAAGCCAGCGGAGATTGGTCGAGAGCACTTTAGCCACATACACTCATGTCTTGAGTGAAGAATCTGGCCATTGCCAGAACTCCAATTTATACAATCTACAAAAGGTCGCGAGGCCACTGCCGTTTCAACCTTCTTGGAGGATTATAGGGATGGGAGGTGCTTGATAGGGATTGTGCAAGAGGATTTGGGTGGTAAGTAAGGTTCTGGTGAAATTTGGAGAATTTTTCTGGGATAAGGTCTAGGACAAATGGGATGTTGAGGTCATGATGTAGGGTTTTGTTGGTTACATAGAAAGGAGCATCGACTATTGTTCGAAGGACTTTAGACTGGAAGGATTGGATGCGCTTGATGTTAGAAAATTTTGCTGATCCCCACAGTTTAGTCCGTAAGTCCAAATAGGTTTCAGTATTGTCTTGTAGATCAGTAGCTTGTTTTCAATGGAAAGTTTAGATTTTCTGCTTAGTAGTCGGTATAGTTGGCCGTATCGTCGGTTGAGTTCTTGTCTTTTGAGTCTAGTATGCGGGTTCCAAGTTAGTCTTCGGTCTAAATGAAAGCCAAGATACCGGACTGTGTCTGAGTAAGGAAGCTGGATGGAATTAAAGAGTACTGGTGGACAGGAATTGCGTCGGAGTGTAAAGGTAATATGTTGGCATTTAGATTCATTAACTTTAATGCGCCAGTTATTACACCAGTGCTCAATCAAGGTGAGGTGGCTTTGGAGATTTAAGGATGCTATTTCGGGATCAGAGTTGGATGATAAGATTGCGGTGTCGTCAGCGAATGTTGCAAGAAAAGTATCGGGATGAACAGGGATGTCAGCAGTAAAGAGGATGTAAAGCACGGGACCCAAGACGCTGCCTTGGGGAACACCGGCTTTAACGGAGTAGATATTGGAAAATTCTGTTCCACAGCGAACTCGAAAGGAGCGGTCAGAGAGGTAGGATCGGAGGACTAGGTACAAGGACTGAGGTAAATGGATTTTAAGCTTGGAGAGCAGTCCGGAGTGCCATACCCGGTCAAATGCCTGTGCAATGTCCAGAAAGGCACCCGAACAGTATTCCTTGTTTTCTAGGGCTGAGGAAATATGATCAACAACTCGGAGTCCTTGTTGAACAGTAGAATGTTGAGAGCGAAAACCAAACTGATGGGAAGGGATATTTTGGGATTCTATAATGGGTAGGATTCGTTTCAAAAGGATCTTTTCAAAAATTTTTGAAAGGATTGGGAGTAGGCTGATTGGTCTATAGGATGTTGAGCTATTGAGAGGTTTTCCTGGTTTTGGGAAAAGGATAATAGTGGAGTGTTTCCATAACAGAGGGAAGTGGGTGGTGCGTAGGATACAATTGTAGATATATGTAAGGAATATGACTGCTTTGGATGGAAGTTGTCGAAGGATTTGAGGTGTAAGGAGATCATGTCCAGGAGCTTTACGGGGATTAGTTTTTTTAATTGAAATTTTACTTCGGAAGGATGAATAGCTTTTGGGGGCAAGGAAAGTGGGATTGGTGATGTAAGGAGTTCTTCTACTGTTACGGTGTGGGCAGGATGGGATTCTGGATGTGAAATAAATGTATTGGATAGGTGAATGGCGAACTCCTCAGCTTGACTTATCTTCGTCAGATGCTGCCCAGGAGCCATTATCTCGAAGGAGGGGATGGGAAATGCGGTGCGGATTTAGGATTTTTGTTGTGGTTTTCCAAAGGGAATCGTCGCGAGAAGAGAGGGAGGATAGGTAGGAGTTGAAGGATTGTGATCTGAAGGTGGCTAATTCCAGTTTTAATTTTTTGCAGTAATAATTATAGGAGCAGCGGTCGGTAGGATGTCGGGTACGTTGCCACAATAATCTGGCACGGCATTTGGTGTGGATTAGGTCAAGGAGGTGTTTGGGTAGAATGGTCTTTTTAGGAATGGTCTTTTTACGTGATGGGAGAAGGATTGGTGTACAATTACAGCAGTACCGGCATGTGCTTTTCCGTCAGGGTGGTCAGTACGATATGTCAGGTATTGTGGTATATTGAAGTGCTGTTTAGTGGTTAGTCGAGTTTCAGTAATTAGTGCCACATCAATGTTCTTGTCAAGTAGTAAAGTAGATAGTTCGTCTGTATGATTTCTAACACCATTCGCATTCCAAAGGAGAATGGATATGGGTTTAGGGATGTGAGTCATTTAAGGATTTTTCAAAGGAGGGATGAGGTGAGATACGAGATTCGTGAGGAGTGATATGAGTGGAGTAACAAGGGATTTGAAATCGGTGAGGAAAGATGCTAACAAACTTGTGAGATCTGTTGCATTTGAAGGAGGAGGAATATGAGGAATTTGTTGTTGGTGGTTAGGTATATTAGGATGAAGAGGATTTTGAGGTTGGGTTTGAGGTTGTTGTTGTGGCAGGGCTTGACATTTATCGGTTAAAGTCTTACCTCTAAGTAGTTGGGAGAATGATACATCATTGTTTACAATTCTGGAAGGCTCTCTCTCTCTTCTTGTTCTTAGTGCTTCATCTTGAATCCGGTTTTTCTGGTGTCTGGTTTTGAGATTCTTGTAAATTTGGCAGCCTTTGTAGTTGGCCGGGTGTCCCTCCAAGCATAGGGCACATACTGCTGGATCTTGTATAGGTTTGGTGCAC